AGAAACGAAATGAGCACTGACATGATGATGCCATCCAGTGAAGTGCGTACTTTATGCGTGAGACATGGCAACCACAACGGCAGACAGTAAGAATGCCGCCTGATTGCACCACGCTCCTCTCATATGTGATGTTGTGGGGAGACTTTATCGGGGAATGGGCAATCCGAAACTCGTGGGAAACATCCGAACCTACCTTTAAAGCAAGGTAACTTATGTCAAACAAGGATGTTACCCTGTGAACATGTGACCGGGGAATCTGAACACGTTCCGAAGCCCTGTGGAAGAAAGAGAGAGAGAGAGAGAGAGAGAGTACTTTCACTCCCCCGAAAGCCCCACAACAACCTGTGGGGCCCTATGGGCCGGTGGGCCTTACTCGCCCCTGTGACCCGGCGGAAGAAGAGAGACAGAGGGAGAGGGAGCGAGAGAGAGAGAAAGAGAGCGAGCGAGCCTCAACTTTCTACAGCCGACCCTCTCCTCTGAAATCGGTGCTAGGGGTGCGCAAAGGCGCGGTGTACAGGGACTGCCTGTCCCCCATCCCCGGGAGCAAAGCAGAGAGAGAGAGAGGGAGAGCGAGAGTAGCAAGCCAGACCAACCCACCAGGATTCCCACATTGCCAACACCATCTCCAAGGCAAGTGCCTGGGCCACAGAACCGGAGTCTCAGTGTCATTCAGGGTCAAGGTTCTGCAAGTTAAAGGTGCAGCAGCCGACACTTCTGTGGTTGCGCAGATCGATCGCAACAAAGAATCCCTGTTCGTTACCCGACTCTGTGGATTTGGTGAGCAATGCTTTCCTTCTTTCTTTGTGTCTCTGAGAATATTGTGCTTTAGGGCTTCGGAGGTTGCAGTGGGCCAGTGGCCAATACGTTGAACCGTAAGCATGGAAGTGTTTTTGTTGTACAAATCAGGTTAGGACTCTGGAAATCCGGACTGCCAAACACGTCCTTAAGCCGAGCTGCGACAAACCGAACATGTCGCTTTCCGATGATTTGCATTCTAGGGTTCGATCTTTGCGGCATCGGAAACTTGGGAAAGACTTCATTGAAGAACACGCGGGAAGTTAAGAGTTTTTCGAGACTGATTCGAAGGGTTAGATGGTGCAGTGATTGCAGTTAGATGCCGGCCTTTACCTTCGTGGGATCTTCAGCCCAAGCCTCCGCTGTTATCCACAGCTTTTCCTATGCGCTCATGCCTTTAGAGGGGGTGAGGGTTGCATAGGCGCTGGCCGGCACCTTAGTCCATGCTGAAAACAAAAAGGTTTTGCCCAGGGAGTGTGGAGAACACCAGTCCGGCAGAAGCATCGAAAGAGTAGTCCCCCAGCCATTCTGGATCCCTTGCTGCCCTCTCTGTTTGGTAGGATGCTTCTGGTGCGTTTTCTATGACTTGCTTCAAGAACGTCCCGAACCCTTGCACATTCTGCGAAACTCCTCGAGAACACTCTATTGAAGGTTGTCAGGCCTCTTGAGTAACTAGACCTGGCTTCAACAGAAGTTCTGTGCATTGGCGGCATCGCATAGCTCAAGCCTGAAGGATCCTAAAGGCCTCTCAACACGTATCTGAATTCGCCGATCCATGTAACCGGGTAGGACCTTTGCTGCATTGGAGGAAAGGGTCGGACGCTTTAGCTTCACTTGCGTAGTCGAGTGACAGATTTGTAACTCTTGCGGAGGCTTAAGCCTTCCCCGGAACTACCTGCAGGGGGAAACGTGATTCTAACATGCTGCAGTGACTAACAAGATTCCATCCTCCCCGAGCTTTTACGTATTGTGATTCGACGCCTTCCACACCTGGCCTCGAGGGCTCTTGGCCGTATGCGATGACTCCCGGATTCGCTTCATGCATGTGGGCAGTATCTTCCATGTCTCAGGCCCATGCAGATGCTCAAACGAACAGAAGCTTATCCGCTGTCCTAAACTCGACAATCTAATGGCCCGCCCCGTAAACTGAGGCTGTGCAGAACGAGCGGACAAATGCAAGGCGACTCTCGCAGGAGCTCAGAACTTGCGACTCGCACAGGTTCTTTTAGATTCACGGGAGGATGCGAGAGTCGCTAATCGCACGCATGTGCTAGGAACGTAACGGTTAAGATGCATGTGATGCTCTTGACATGCACCCGGGCTTGGGCCCGAAATTGCCAAGAAGCGAAAGCCTCCCTGAAGCTTCGAGTTTGTTCAAGGACCGCTTTTCCTTGAATGTAAAGCGAAGGAGATGACGGCCCAACGTCGATCACTGGTCGAGGTAGAGATTGCACGAGAGAGGCTCCTTGGCTCGGAGGTCAAGTCTAGGTCTCCCTGTGTGTGTGTGTGTGTCGTTTCCATGGCATTTTTGCGGGCATCGAAGGCAAGTTCAGCTTCGGGGCTCCAGAGCTGGGCTTTCAAGAAAAGCATGCATCCTTATTTGCGGTTTGCCGTTTTACTTTTTCCTATGCGCCTCCAGTCCAAAAGCTCCTGGGATCCACCTGGAAGAATTCAACGATCATCAATGACATGACGGCTGGATGGCGAGAGGCTGCCCCCCCCAGAGCAGGATTTGAGCTCCTGAGCCACAGGCCTGGCAGACCTCGCAGGCTTTGCTAGCTTAAGTTTGTTGCCAACCCCTGCAGATCAGAACCGACGCCAGGGCCGCTTCAGCTGAGCGCCGGAGGGCTCGATCGGAGTATGTGGATTCCCGCCACCTAGCAGCACTTGCAGAGCTTCCAATACCACATTTGAGTCTATAGGGTTCAGAGGTGAAATGACTGTTTATCACTGTTGCGCAGGTGTGTATGGATGTCGGTTTGCAGGCATGCAGTATACTTGAGGACGTTGCTTACCATGTTCGGGCAGAGAGCCACAGGATTTTATAATCATCCGCATGACAGGTTTACCAGACTCCGTGCTGTAAGCGTGCAGAGAGAACAGTCGGTAAAGTTTCTTCGGGTTCCGCTGGTTAGCCCGATGGAAATCAAGCACAACGGCTTCTTCGTCGAAGGTTTCATGCGGCATGCTCCATTGCCGATTTTTGGGTGCCAAGGGCCAAGGGTCGAAGTGATGTATTGTCCAGGTGTTGCATCGTTCTATCATGAACTAGAGCCTTGCAGATCCCATTGCATACCCTCAAGACTTGCTTGCATGGCTTTGAGCACTGAATGGCTCCTTTATGCCCGCCTGGATCAGCTAGCGGTCTGCAGCACAGATCCCGCAACCTAAGCCGAGATTCGAACAGTCCTCAATCCTAAGGTCCTAAGCTTTGAGCCCGCAGATTCAAGAGCACTGGAGGGATTGATGGACGGTGTCTAGAGGTGCTACTGGTGTGGGCCAATAAGTATTAGACCTGGACTCATGAGGAATCCCTGAGTTCCAATGCCAAGGCCTGCGAGCCCACTCCCAGCATCTGGAGGGCAGGCGGCAGGAAAAGGAGGCCAGATCAAGAGCCAGAAAGGGAGGCCACTTAGATTTCAATGCATGTGGAGGGTGCACAATGGCCTTTGAGTCCAGTGCAAGATCCACCCCTTCCTAGATCTTCTGAAAGGCTGCTGCATGGCAAGCAGCAAGTCCCTGCCCGAACGACCTTTAGATTAGCCAGTTGACGTTTACACTTAGACTGCTCCAAGTTCCCCTGAGCTACTGCCAAGTTCAGCCGCAGAGGACTCAAACCTGGAGTTCCCGACGAATACGTTATGCCTAGACTCCTGGTCCTAGACCCCTCGTCGTCGATGCGATCACCGCTGGGGCTTGTACCTGGATGTGATACATCTGGAGGGTTTTGTGAACCTTTAACTTAGGGTTGCAGGGCACGGCAGGCAGACCAATCATAACACACACACAAATGGATATTACGACACAGGACTACACAGGTATACTAGTAGGCATAGTGTACTCTCTCTCTCTCTCTCTCTCTCTCTTCTTTATCTGTTTATTTACACAAGTATTTCTATTTATTTATTTATTTATTCATTTATTTATTGTAACTGAAGAAAGAGTCTAAGAGAGTGTGCATTCACTCATGTTTTTGTGAATGATTTCTATGTGCATGCTCGATATGTAAATGCTTGCATACATACGCGCAAGATTGACATACACACATACATACACACATACATATACATACATACATAAATAGATACGTGCATGCATGCATGCATACATACGTGCCATTTGCATCCGCCTAGCAGAAGTGCTGGATTGTGTTGTGCGGTCTTGACATGTTTATGGTGCTTTGTCATATTGTTGATGTTTTTTCGGCCATGAACCTCCGAGTAGTTTCTTTCGGGGTTCTCTTGTCTAATGCGTGATTTTAACTTTCACAATGCAGGGTGAGTGTGTCATGTGCCGGAGCGGACAGCTGATGCCTGATGATGCATGAATCTCGGGTAGACCACCACGACCTTCGTCCGATCATCACTTCCTTCAAGGAACCATGAAGCTACTGCAATGTGCTGAATTGAAGCCGCGCCAATGTACACGACGGACAGGTGTGTGACGAGAACCGTGGACCTCAGCAAAGTCGTTCCCTGTCTGTAAGGACCTTGCTCAACGCTCCTGGGCAGGCAAAGTTCGCCCAGAAGCGCGAACAAGCCGAAGCAGAACATCGACGGCGCCGGAAGCTTGAGGGGGTTTTCATGAAATCGCAATTGAGGGGCAAAGAGCAGTGGGAAGATGTGAACTCCGATACAAATTTTAGGTGGCGTGCTGCCGCAACCCAGCACCTAGACTAAACAGTTAACCAAAGCCCTTAAAGCACCACTGACTCAGAACGAGATGTTGCACATTTCGCGAATGCGCCGTGCGGGTAGAATGTCCAAGAAGTCAAAACCAAAGGCTCCGACCTTTAATTACCCAGACCTAGAATCAGGCTGCTAGTATCTTTTTTCTATGCGTGGTTCCAGTGTGAGTCCGTTTGCAGGGTCAGGCGTGCGACGATGGAATGAAGACGCTGGACAATCTTAAAATAATTTGCTCTAGTGTGATGTCGTTTGGTGATGCTCAATAATGGGTGCTTCTCAGGAATTTGCAATTTCTGGCGCGGCCGGCAATAATGCGCAGGAAATTCGCTTGGATCTGTTGTTTTGCACTTTCCTCTGTTCTAGATGTCAATCTTACCTGGGTAGACTGAGTAGAGGATAATAAGAGGCCGGAGAAGCCTCACTTAAACTTGTTTTGGAAGGCCTCAGGCTTGGTTGTGGGGGAGCGTGGGATGAAGGAAAATGAAGGGTTTTAGTCTTGGTACTTGGTAGTTATTTGAAGTGATCGAGTTTGGTTTCGATGTAACCCCGCCTAAACAGCCCTGGGCACCCCCCTGAACCCTCCTTCTTTACTGCTACTGTAATACTAGCACAGCACCGCTGTACGACTACTGTATCACTGCTTCTTTACTGCTGCTCTGCACCCTTCTGAAGAGCCAATCTCACTGTGCGGTACCGGGACGCACCACCCCCACACCGCCGCTCCAAAGAACTTATCTCCCTCTACAGCCCCTTCCCCACACTCCTCCAAAGAGCCCATCTCCCTCAACAACCCCCCATGCACCCACACTCCTCTCTCTGGAGAGCCTTCTCCCTCTGCGGCATGCAGGGTGCCAGAAAATGTGGAGGGGGCCCGAATACTATGCGTTCACAGACACAGTACCCGAAACCAAGCATATCCAAGCATACTTGCCCCAGGCGATGCGATTATGGAGCACATCAGAAAGCTCCACGTGCAGCGGCACCACAAGGCACACGGAATTGCGCCAGCAGCATCCGCACGATTGGGACAGGGAGAAGAGTTAAGGGAAGCAGGGCCCGAAGTCTCGATCCAGGTTTCTGCCTACTAGCGTTACGAGCGTTATATCCGAACCCTAGTTGAAGCACAACATCACGAGAGCAGCTTCAGCTGCAACAGAACGTAAGTACCGGAGAAGGGGCAAGGCGGCAGGACATGATGGAGTGATCTGCGACACAGGCTGCTGGCAGACTTTCCTGATGCCTTGATGAAATGTAAACTGTAAACTGTAAGGCTTTTCATGGGAGCGGGCGAGCGAGAGAGAGCGAGAGAGAGAGAGAGAGCCGTGAACCCCTTCCTTTATCCTGGTGAAAGAGAGAAAAAGCGAAGGCATCCGCTCTGTAAAAGACCAATCACCGGGACGAAACATCGTCGGGGCAGTCTTGGTCGGCCTTTTTCGGCGATCCCGGGGCATCAGTCCTACAACAGACGAGAGTGCCTTTACTAAGGCGGCACCCCCTTCAGGCCTGGTGAAAGAAAGAGCGAGAGAAAAAGAGAGCGTGTGCGTGCATCCGGAGATGTGTTTGTGGGTGTGCGTGTGTACCAACTCAACACATGCAGGATGTGCCTGAAGTGTTTTCATGAAACCTCATGTCAGACTTTCAAACAGGTTGCGCACGGATTTTGTGCTTGTGCCCCAATAAACAAATGAGTCCGGAAACTCAGTTATCAACCCAACCGATCCCGAAAACTCAAAAATAATCCGGTTCACGATGTGTAAACAAATCTGAGCCATGCCTGCCTGGTGCGAGTGTGTGAGTCGAAACAAATCTGAGTTTATAGAGTAAGTTACCCTTATCTGTTTGCTCCACTTAGAGACGGGACCGAGCCGAGAGAAAATGCACTACTGTTCTATTGCCACAACTGCTACTATGGGCCCACCTCTCAATAGTCAACCGACCCGGCGGGGGCTTGAAATCAAGCGAAGGGGGGTGGAGGGCGAGGGGTTATTAATTACTGCACCATCTTACGAGACTTCAGTCCGGCTGTTGCTCAAATTTGTCGCCCACTTGATTACAAGTAGCCGGAGTGAGATTTGCGCACACCTCTTCTAAACATGAGTGCTTGGCGGCCTTGCTCTTTCACACCATTGAGTTTTTGAGTCGCAGCCGCAGGCCTCACAGCTGAAAGAGTTGGCTTGGCAGGCAGTCCAAAGTCAATGGCTTGGCAGGTTTGAGGGTCTGGATTTCATGAGTTGAGTTCTTCAGAAGTTTCAACTTTGAGGTTGTGGGGGTTGGCTACTGTGGGGTTCAGCACCTAGGTTCTGCAGTTGGGCTTGCTGTTTTGGAGTACCTTTTCGTTGTACCTCTTCCGAAGCAGCTGCAGAAAGCCAGCAGTATCTGAGTGGTTCTGGTTGGAGATTTTCAGTGCCTTGCGCGTGATAGGAAGTAGTGGCAGGGTCGGTTTGGGCACACTGGCTTGAGGCAGGGTCAACATCCGCAGCACAAGATGAACAGCTTCAAGCAGTTTCCCAGGGTTTAAGGCTGCAGCAGGATACCTCAAAGCCCACTCTTGGCGATATGGCTGTTTTCTGCAAGTGTTCAGGAAGCTCGAGGCTCGAATCAAAGGCAGGCGGACCACAACCCAGTGCCGATAGATGTACTGATTGCTCCGCTCTGTGTAATGGGCATCGCCAACATACAGTGGCGACGTTGCTTCTTCAAAGGCCAAGTAAGGCAGCCCGGTAAGTTCAGCCCTCTGAAGATCAACTTCTAAAGTACTTGTGTTGCGCCCGGTGGTCGGAATGGAGGCAGCCGTGACGAACCGCGAGGACACTCTCCGCCAAGAGTTGGAGGCCTTTGTACTGTAGTGATACTTCAACATCATGGTTCCTTTGGTGATGCCATTTGTCCAGAGGCTAAAGAAAGTTCCATTATGTTCGAGTTCAAAGACAGAAGTGCAGGGAACCAAAGTCAAAACAGCATCGCGACGAAAGGAATCATACGAGGACCCAGGCTGGCATTGTGAGCCTAGGGTGCTAAAGATCTTCAGAGGATCACCTGTGCACGTTTCGGAACACAAAGATGTTCGCAATATTGTCCTGTGCACATGTCTTGTGAACATTCCCGCAGATGGCAAAAGCCAAAGACCAGAACACCAGCCTGAAATCCTCCCTCGGAGGCTCTTGTTCCGCGCTTGGCTTCCGCTCCTACGACGCCAAGGCAGTGGTCTCTCTTGGAGATTCGGGTTTGGGGGATGTCGGAGCCATTGATGACTGCCGGTGCAATTGTGACACTAGTGCACCCGACGCTGTACCTCCAGACCGGAACAGGCACTGCAATGCAACTGCAGTTCCTTACCCACCCAGCCACCGGAGCACACGGCTACAGGAGCCCGGGCAACTTCAACACGCCAAGGGCTCGGCTGCGTCTCCCATGCGTTAGGGACTTCTTGCTCGGGGGTCGGAACTCAATTCTCAAGGACATGTCCGAGGACGGAAGTCGATTAGTTCAGTTGGTAAAGGGTCAGAACCGCGTGACTACTAATAATGTGGAAGGAGCGGACAGGTATTTGCTGTGCACATCTTGTAGGTTTAGACTTAGACGGGCCAATGACTGTCTACGACTATTCTGCAAAAAGCTCGGTTGTTGCGTTCGTTTCTGAAGAGCACAAGCAAGGTGGAACCCTGAAGGCTTGTTCCGAAATCCCAGCAACTCGTACTTCGCAATGCGACTAGGAGGCTGACGCCACAAAAGCACTCGGGTTTGTAGTATAGCACAGCAGCTCCGCCAAGAGCTGCTAAAGTCCAAAGCAGCAGCAACCGCTCACCATGCACAAAGCCCCACCGGAAAAAGACAATCATCAGGTGCTCGTAGACAGTTTCAACTTCCGCCTGGAATCGCGAAAGGCCTTCGAACCACGGCGTGTCACCACAGTCACATCAAACTCCGCGGGCTTCAGCCGGCTCGTGCCTGGTCCGAGTTATAATTCGGGATCTCGGTTGCGGGGTTAGGTTCAGCTAGACACTGTTAGATGGTGGGACATTGCAGTCAGTGGCAGCGAGCAACAATTGATAGAAGAACTAAGTCAGCTAAGTTTACTCGAAGCCCGTTCACCTCGGGTTATAGAAGACCCTGCATGTGGGTTTATCGATCAGTCTCAGGCTGCCGTTGTCTTTGTGTTCGAATCGCCGAACATCAGCCACAGTCCATCAGGACTGGCATGGTTGCGGTTGAAATCATGTATCTTGCTGGATGATGGAATTTTATAAGCCTTGTTCAAGCAATCGAACCTGACACACCGCAGGCCCCCACAAGTAAGTGCTAGCAGGTGGCTCGGTACAGTCTGAGTATCACCGGTGTCGATCATGCGTGCTGACGAGTAACATTGACACCATCTAAGGCCTCGCCGAGTCAACGCAGATCGTTTTATTCCTGCAACGCTGCATGGCTGGAAGGCTAAATGGTCGGTGGGACTTCGAGATTCGAGTTTGCAGGCCTTTCTATTGATTGCTCAAGGCACACTGGAATGAACGTTTCTGTTGTTTAACTGCGTTTCAAATGCACGAGTTGCGAGCTTGCCGGCGCGGGACCTTCGTCACACAGCAACCGCGGAAACCTTCGGAGCGCACCTCTTTCAAGAGGCATGCTACTCGCCCTGCTTGTCGAAACTCCAACGGCAGAGGTAAAATAGCTGTGCCATGCCAGCCTATAGGCTATGTTCTGAGCTTGGCACTTCAGGCAAGTCATGCGAGGTCCCCAGTTTGTCTTTCTGCCAGGTATTCCTGCATGTTTGCGACACAACTCGCGACAGCGCTGGCCACTCTTCCTTGCTTCACCTGGCAAAAGCGATTTCGTTGTAGGCGATGATCGCTTGCTCTGTGTGTGTGTGTGTGTGTGCGTCAGCGAGCAAGATTTAGATTGCGACATTCTCGGACAATGACGGTTTAAGCGCTCGGAGCTGCAAGCGAACAATCAGTGGTGGTTGAATAGAAATTGACTCTACAAGGCCTGCTCCTCGTCGAAATCGCCATGCGAATGAAGGTGTCCTCTTGCCCGTTTTGAGGGGGCAGGTCAGAACGCTTCGCCCCGTCTCTCCATACCGGCGTGGAGACATCTGCACGTGGATGTTATCCGCACATCTTTGGGGCCTTGGCTTTGGAATTTCGTATTCTTTGAGGTCAAACAGGAGCAACTGGCAACCCAGTCCACTTTGTTGATTTGTTTGTCGACCTAGTTTGTTTGTGAATAAAGAAGGAGTGCTGAAATGGAGGCATGTCGTACTATGATTGCTCGCCTGAAGGAACGGACTGTCAAGATGCCTCAAGCATCAGTGCAGACGGTTCAGGATGGCCCACACACCGCCGAAATCCAGAGCTTGAGCTCTTACGATCCGATGTTCTTAGAACTGTCCCCAACGCCTGTTCGGGAAAGACTTCCAGATCGCCCTGGCAATATTATGCAGCTAAACTAGGCAACATCATCTAACTCCAATCGGTATCGGCTGCACCCTGAGCCAACAATTTCCATGTCGCATAGCGCCGATAGACACAGCCAACCCCGGAATCCCCAAGCTCCGAAATGTTCCCAAGCCTCACCAAGGTTCTACCCGACCACACCACGGCAGCCGACCCCCACAGTCACCGGCAAGCCAAACCTTTGGTCTCCGGTGGCCGGGCTCGAGCCTCCGTTGGGGGCCCGGCCGGAGTTGCCTTACGGCGCTTCTGGGTTTGAGGCTCAGGTTCTGGGCAAAAAGGGTACTAGTAACATGTTTGCGCCTCGAGAAAGTCCTGTCAAACGTGCAAGTAGATGTTGTCGCCTGCGCCTCACAAGGCAAGAGTCAAGAATGAGGCCTCTTTCCATGTCATGTTGTTAGATGCTTTTTTTCCGGTGTGCTCTTTCACATGTTTGAACGAAGGATTGCAGGACTTATGCGAGTGGGTGACGCCATGTACAGGGGCAGAACTGGGCCGAGGCCATCATGAACATGATGTTTAATCAAGACTGTCAGTTTCGAGTGTGTGGCAAGTATCTGAACCATCTTAACAGGACAGGCGCAGAGACATTCGAAGGGCCAGTTACACAGGATGGAAGCAGGTGTAAAATTGCAGCAGAGGGATGGAGTTTCGCCTTGGTTTCAGATCGACGAGAGCGCGAAGCTGAAGTGCCGCATGGCCGAGGTTGATGTCTCCGACCAGTCGTGGGACCCAAGACCTGCACTTCCGTGGAGCTGTGGATTTTCAACGGGCTTTAGGGGTCTTAGAGGGCTACGCCTCCTGCCTAGGCATTTGACTCAGGATGCTTTCGTTGGGATCTTCAAGATTCCAGCTGCTGGAGGGTATCAGGGTGAACTTCAAGAAGTAACAATTGGGTGCAGAGTGCAGCCTGGCGAGAGTCCGTCTTTTTGTTCACTGCACTCCTTGCCAAGAAGCGGGTCGAGTTCCACCCGTGTGGAGGTCGTGGCATTGGACGAACATGCGAATTTGGATTCGCAGCGATTAATCTGGCTCTAAATCCCAATCCTTGCATGTACAATACAATAGTATTTTTCCGTCCACCAGACTGGTGTGGAATCTTTTGGGCCCCGACTTGGCCTTCTCCGGTTGAAACAGTCTTCACCTCTCCCATTCTGCCGGGCAGAGGTGTGGCCTCATTGACGAGCTCCCGCAGCTCCTTCAGTGGCGGAGCAGTGGCTTTGGCCGAGCATTTCATGTAGAGATTCTCCTTGTCACAGCGCCAGTCAGAACATGATCTTGGGGTCCGTTGGATAGTGCCTGCCCGGTTGCGCGAAACATATGTCGCCCAAAACCTGGACACCTCGAAACCTCGGAAGCCCACTCTGTCCAGGCACTCTCACCGCGACGACAGAAGCTCTTCGGCAGATTCGGGCCAATCTCCTCGGCTCAATCCTTGGGGTGCGGGGCCCCAGATGTGGCCAAGCCCAGGCCTTGAGGCGATCCTTACGTCACAGAACAAGTGAGTTTTGGGTGCGCCAGTGAGTCAGGAAGCAATGATTTGGGAGCCGAGTGACCGGGGCGAATCACGGGAAGGAGCGAGGCGGGACAGTCGTGCAATCCAGGATACCAAGATATGCTGTCATTTCGCGAGGAGTGCGGCACTGAGAGAGCTTGAACTTGAAACGCAAAGAGGAAGGATGAGACAGAAGGGAGCCAGATAATAATGAAAAGGCATTGCGCTTGTTTCGTATTAAAACGGGGCTACGAAGTCCCTAGGCATGCATGCATGACTTCACGAAACAGTGAAACAGCCAAGGCAACTATTGTCTCGTAGATGGTGCTAGAGCAGATTCCTGGAGGGCTAACACAAAGTCCCGAATTCATCTACCACCTTCGAGGTCGACCCGTGCATCGCTGCAGGCACTGCAGCTTCAAGGGTCGGGATGCTATCCCGAGGTTTCGGATTGGAGCTTGTGCAGGTTGCGGTGAGCCTGAACATATCCGCATATAAGTCTCTACCAATGTGCCGTGAGCACAGCGACTTTGACCTCTGGATTTGTCTCGGGACTCGTGCAACGTCTCCTAGAGGCTCTCAGAGTATCAGCTTTGGACCCCACACCTTACGGCATGTCCATGGAGTTATGGAGTTTAGGAGGTTGACGTGGCGGTTAACAGTCCCTGCGACCGGCTCGCTTGTATTATGATGTTCAGGGCGCATGTTGCTCGGAGGCTTGTGCCCCCGGTGAGCAGTTGACAGAAGGTCTCTTGGGTCTGCGCAGTACCAGCAGGTCAGGGTATAGATCGATGTCAATGTGTCCCTGCCTGGAAAGACCCGAAGTCCCCAAAACCCTTTCCTCCCGACTGCTAGGCGTCCTCTCCTGAGCTGGTGGCCTAACTGCCGAACTCGCTCATTCTGGTTAGAGCAGACGAGCAAAATACTTGTGCTGCAGAGTTCCGGCGATTGTTTCCGTTTCCGTGGAAGAGTTATCAGGCAAGAATGCAATTGAGACCTGACGTAGTGGATCACAGCAGAACCCCTGCTAGATCACTGCCATAGTTCCCACCCACCAAAGCATTGAACGCGCAAAGCCGAACTCTGTACAGCATCTCGGAGACTTCGTGATGAGTATCTTCTTGTAGACTAGGCGCAGTTCCGTCCTGACCTCATCCGTCAAGCTTCGCCACTGGCCGCCCCAAGCCCTTAATAAGTGAATGCCCAACTAGCAATCGGAAGGTGCTGTTATCCAGACACCACTTTGCACAGCATTTCGGTGTAATTATGGGTGCAAGTCACGGCTCTTCGAGTTGGTACTGAGCAGTTGCTTGACGGAACTTGCTTCAGAGGCCCGTTCCAGCCGCCGGGAGTTTAAGCCAAACGGCATTCTGTACCGGTCGGCTGGCCATAACGCAATTTTGTATCTTCGGGTCGATTGTGTCGGTTGAAGCTCTTTGCAGCACGGTCCGCACGCAGTCGGATGCTCTTGTGCCAGTGGTTGCCAGGCTCGGCAAGGCTTGTAGCAGGTACTGACCTTCAACTCGAGTAGTATTCGTGTGCCACTGTCCGGGTTACTAGCCATCACGAGTAGTGCACATCAAAGACAGCTGACACGCTCAGTTGTGCCCTGCTTCCTTCCCTCGTCTGCTGTGTCGAAGGTGTCCGGGTCTAGCTGGAATTCCTTCACCCACTTGTGGTTTGTAAGTCTGAGGCTTCCCGGATTTACACAAGTCATCATTTTATGTGGCATGTCGGTCTTTCTCAGATCTGAGTCGGTCTTTCTCAGATCTGAGTCTGAGCTGTGAAGCCGTCTTTGGCACACACTGCGCACCGGACAGCGTTGATCGAGAAGGCTCAGCGGTTCATCCACAGGACAGATTCGTGCCCCAAGCACTATGCCTTGAACCCGGGAACCCCCAACGTTTAGAGCCTCTAGAGGGGAACTTCAAGACTTGCATGTCAAGCGGCACGCCTTCTGATCCAGCAGGGAACGGGATTGGGAATCTATGGGTTAGCAACCCAGCAAGCTTTCATACGTCGTGTCACATGTCAAAGCCATGTTCATAAGTTTCTGTGCATCATTGTGTTTCCTGCGGCGAGGATTCACAATACATGCAGCGCAAAGCTTTACTCTGTAGACCGCCTCACAAGAAGTGTGCATTTGGATCCAGTTTTTGAGTAACTATTGGTGTCATTGCGCTTTCGTTTTGGTTTTTTGCCCCTGAGCCCCTGAAGTTGCATCTGTGTGGGGGCAGGGACTTTCCAGACACTTTTGCAAACCCAGCGCTTGGAACTGGAGGTCTAGTCTTCGTGACCGGTTGTGCTTGTCTGAGCCTTTCCCTGCACTTGCAATTCAGCCTGTGTTGTACGTGTCATCTCGGAGGGCAGGCCACTCTTGGATTGTACCGTCTTTGATGTGATCACTCTGTGAAGCCTGGCATTGCTCTCAATCCTGCAGGGGTGCGACTGGAATTAAACCAGGCGCCGCCTTTGCATCTGCAGGCGATTTTTCGGTGCGCCACCTGCTGCTGCTGCTGCAAGTGGCAATGAAGGTGCCCAACGCGTTCTCTTTGCAGCTGGCGCCTTTCCGAAGGCATGGAACAGGCTAAGTTACAGACATCACATACGACGAAACATAGCACGGTCTCCAACATATACAGGAAAGCACAAAAGCTGAGGCTCAGAATTTGCTTCGCCAGGTCGGTTTTGGGGGTTTCATTCTTCAGGCTGCACAATGTTCTAGACCTTGCAACTGCCGGAGGTTCTTCCTGATAGGCGTAAGGATCACAGCTTTGCGGCGTAGTCACGAAAGGTCTTATCTAAACGTCCGATGGTAGTAACACCTGCGGTGAAAATTTGTTGTCCTCTCGACTTCAGACCCCACCGAGACTACCTAGCAGACCAGCATGCCGAGTGCGGTAATTCCTACGTGACATCACGAGCCAGATGAATCGCAACGCAAATAAACGGCAAGAGTGAGTCCAACCCAGAAGTGCGCTGCTGAGGACACACTTGCTTTTGAAGACAGCGCACAGTGGGGGGATGAGTAGCAGATTTAGATGTGGATTTGGAGTCAATCTCCGCCTAAATCGGTCGATCATTGAGAGCCTCTCCTCAGCTCTGTACGAGAAACTTGGAACTCTCTCTCTTTCTCTCTCCCTCTCTTGCTCTCTGTATCTCTGTACACTTATACACATGTGTACATATGCACATGCAGTAAACTTATACATATGTTTACATATGTATACATATATATGTAGATTATAAGGATATAATGTTTGTGAATTTAGCTATATATATGTATTTGTTGTGTGTTTGTGTATATACATATATACACTTATATAAGTTCCTGCCGATCGAGAAGATTCGGACACTATGTAAAGCAATGTATCTGCGAAAGTTTCGCGCTGGTGCGAGGAAAGGACTGGAACCACAAAAAGTCCGCGGCAGTTTTTTACACGACAAGCTTGGGCATAGAAGACTAATAGAGTTTAATAGAGGGCATGCCACCAGTCTTGCAGGCAGAAGTCCCAAGCCCGTTGCTGCGCAAAGTCGCAGCAGGCTTCCGTGAGATGCCGAAGTCAGTTTCCGGTACTAGCGCGAAATTTTCGCATAAGAGTCGTTAATGTCGATGTATCCAGATCTTGGCAAGGGCTCATTGTATGCGTGCCCTGCGCAATATTTACACCGCTACAGCAACGACGACGACGACTACTGCTACTTCTACTGCCCTACTACTACTGCAAACAAACACTGCTACTACTGCTGCTACTGTGTTAGAGCCGTCGACACAGCGGCCTCGATCGGCATGCGAGTGCTCGGTCGATTGATTACCCGTTGCGGATCTGTCCGATTTGAGACTGCTCGGCCTACCCCGCCTTGCGGTCGCAGCAAGAAATAACGCGCGAAACTCAGCTGCTCAGTGAGTGTCCGAACGTTATCGATCGGTAGGGACTATGTATATAATTTTTAATTGTGTATACATATAAACATCCTCAATTGTATATAATACACATATTATGTGGTATGTGCAGTGTATAAATAAGTAATATATATATATATATATTCAGATTACCCAATTATGTTTTTTTATTACGTTTACATCTTTATTATCATCTGGTTATATTATTTATGCCTTTGTTATTGTGGGTTGCTGGCAATATGTACATACACACACACTCTCGCACATATGCATATATATATACACATATAGATATATATATATATATACACATACATACATATATATATATATACATATATATATATATATAAATACACGTATTATACTATGCATACATATATTACACATGTTATATATACATATATATATATACACATATATATATATATTACACAGTAAATGTCTATGTATTTCATCTGTTTTCAGCTTTTTCCACTCACGATCATCTCCTCATGACCATCCTTCCACTCACGTGTCTCAGATCATCTCTTTATGACCCCACAAACCGACCATATTGAAACCCAGTCCGGTCCAATACTTCAACATGGCCCCGCGGGCATATTGAAATATTGAGCCATATTGAGTTTCAATATGGCGGCGGGTCCAAGATCCATGATTCCCCAGGACTCTTGGGGAGGAATCTTGGATCACGGATCTTGGATCGCCATATTGCAATTCAACAGGGCGGAAAATTTGCCTATTTTGGAAACTTTCCGAGTTCTCCGAAATGATCTTTTTCTAACAACTCGGATAGGTTTGCTATTTCGGTGCTA